TTAAATTATCCCACAGAGGCAATAGTGTTTCAGTTGTAGAATTCTCACTTTCCATGCTGGGGACCTGGGTTCGATTCCCAGCCAGTGGACTTCAAGTGCAGCCACCACCATCTGTCAGTGAGGACTTGCATGTTGCTCTGATGCTGAGCAAGTTTTAGCAGCACTTATAGACTAAGAGAGACCAGGCTCTCTGCTTCTGGAAATCAGTGAAAACTCTGTGGATCACAGTGGTCCAGTCTGTTGCACATGAAGTTGTAACATGAAGCCTCCATGAGTCGGGGTTGGCAGCTAACAAAAACAAATTTCTTCACATAAAGAACCAGTGTTGAAAATCTTACAAAAGTTTTGAATCCTCTTCACCAGAAAAATGTAAAGATACAAATACACGGAAAAATGACAGTCCTCAATCTAAACAAAGCCTAGTACAATTCCAAAGTGCCAGTTCAGAAACCCCCACTCTGTAGGCTTGTATTAACTCACTTTTCAATCATACAGTTGGAAAAATTAGCTTTAATATCAGGTTTGTTTTGTCTTCTGTGACTTTTCTAATTTCTGTGCTATTTACTATCTGTGGTTAATCTAATGAATGTTAATAATCCCTGAGTGTCACAGGCAAACCATAAAGTCATTGGTGTCACAGCTCATTGGTGATTTTGTTGGACTTGAGGTGCTTTCAGTGCTTCTGACTCATCAAGACCATCAGAGGTTTACTCTAGATTCGTGATAACCTGATTAAAAATAGATAATACACTTTTTTTTATTGTGGTTTGGGTAGAAGTTTACAGAACAAATTTGTTTTCAATAGAACAGTTCATACACATTTTGTTTCATGACATTGATTATAATCCCTACAATGGAACAGCTTTCTTCCCACTTCCTCCCTTTGGTTACCTTTTCCCTGTGTCCTTCTTTCCTATACATTCCTGCCCACGGAGCTAACTCTGTGCAAATACTGCCCTTCTGATGTCCCATGGTTGGTTTTTCTAAGGAATGTACCTTCCTGGTGTAAATGTACACCTTATATGTCTGTCTATTGTTTGGCTGGAAGCCACAGGAGTAAGTTCAATTCCAGGCCCGAAGGGTGCCTAGGGGCCATAGTCTCGGAGGTTTACCAGTCTCTATCAGACCAGTAAAGGAGCTCTGGTGGTGCAGTGCCTAAAGGCATTTGACTGCTAACCAGAAGGTTGGTGCTTCAAACCCACCAGTCACTCCATGGAAGAAAAACAGGACAATCTACTTCATAAAGATTTACTGCCTTAGAAACCCAGTTGGGGTCACTATGAGTTGGAATTGACTTGATGGCAGTGGGTTTGTTTTTTTTTTTGGTTATCAGACCAGTCAGCCTGGTCTTTTTTATGATTTTGAGTTTTATTCCACATTTTTATCCCACTCTATCCAAGATCTCCTACAGTGATCCCTTTCCAAGTGGTTTATAGTGGCAGCGGGGCACCATCTAGATCTTCTGATCTCAAGGTCATGTAGGCTGAGGTTCACATGGTCCACTAGTCCTTAGACTAATTGTTTCCATGCATCTTTGGTTTTCTTTATTCTTCTTTGCTCCTGACCAGGAGAGACCAACTGTTGCGTCTTAGATGGCTGTTTGCAACTTTTAGGACCCCAGTTGCTACTCATCAAAGTAGGATGTAGAACAATGTTTTTGTGTAGTATGTTGTGCAAATTGAACTTGATGTCCCCCATGACCATGGTTCCAAGCCTACAGGCTCAACTGTATATACTATTTCAAAATAAAACAGTGACAAAAAGAAGATTTCTTACATTATCAGAAACAACTAGTTATTTAAATCAATAGAAAATACTATCATAGCCCTCAAGATGCTTTAGAAAATGTTTGGGAGCTAAGAGAATGGAATAGCTAGAGAATAAGGATATAAATCATTGCTATGGTGTTTTATTTTATGGTGCTTCTTAGCATCTATTTATCCAACAGACATTATTCAGCACCTAGTCTGTGGCACTCCTAAATGCTGGGCTCACAAGATGAGTAGAATCCAGTTTCTTCTCTCAAGTAATACATAATTTTGAGAGGGCAAAAGGCATGAGAACAAAACCAACATTGCATAGTAATGTGGCAGTAGAGCTAAATAAGAGTGGTATCAGAGCATATAGTGGGTATACTCTGCCCTGAAGCATCAGACAAGGCTTCTGAGTCTTGAAGTATTAGGAATTTGCCTGACAGACAAGATGGAGATGGGTACTCTCCTACAGAGGTATTTTTAAAGGCACAGAGAGGTGAAACCAAATGACATGTTTGGGGAGTACTCTTTGGGAACCAGGCCAGCTTAGAATCATGGAGACAAATAAAAGATACTGTGGTAATCCAGTGGGACAGAAATGAGGCTCTGAATTATGGCAGCGAGGAGGGTGAAGAAGAGTAGATGTATTTGAGAGCTACTTAGAGGCAGTCCTGGCTATGGAAGCTGAGAGGCAGATATAATCTAGGATGGGCCCTTGGCATCTGTCTTATTTACATAGATGGAAGATGGAACTGCCCATTGATAGAGGGAATTTAAGATGTAAGGAAGAGGGTCTGTGTTCATTTATGGGAAGTGGCTATTGTCCAGCTAGCTGTTGAAACTGTAGCTCTGAAGCTCAGGTGGGAAATACGATATGTAAAGTGGAGTTGAAGCCATAAGATTGGGTAATACCCAGGAAGGCAATAGGGAAGACTGAAAGAAATGCAGAATTAAGAAATCATTTTGTTAAGATAAGAGATATTTGGATATTTTTATTGCTAGAAGTAGGAATGGAGGAGCTGGGAGGTGAAGGGCACGTGTATAACCAGGTGCAAGAGGCAACGGGCGCCAGAGCACTGACGGAAAGCAAGCTTGGCAGGAGGAGGAAGGCCACGTCCTCTGTGAGTGAGCGAAAGGAGCCAAGATACTGAAAGCTGGGAAACTGATGGTTTTTCACTTCTGGTGGCCTGGTTTTATGAATGAGGGTGTGATACGTGCAAGTGAGGGAGCAGAAGTAGGCGAGACAGGAATGGTCACTGGGAGAAGCCAAGAATGGATGGTAACCAAAGCTTTGCAAGGGGAGAGACTTGCAGTGCCACTAAATGACCAGCAGAACATGGGGAGCCATGGACTTACTGACCTGCACATTTGTTGTACACAAAACACTGTGTAGTTGTTTGTGTTAGTGTCATTTTCAGATGAGGGAAATAAGTGTATCCTAGCTGAGACAAGTTCTAGAACTTTCTGGGAAAAAAAAAGGGAATAAGCTATACTTACTGATCACCCAGACCAATAACTAAATAAGATACTTTTCCAATAAATCACAGTTTTCTTCATGGGAAATAATGATTTTTTATTACGTGCTTTTTAAGAAGCATTTGAAATGTATTAATTCCGTGGCTTTTTATTATTATTATTATTATTCCTACAATCCATAATTAAGGATTCAGTTATGTATTAAATGTTAAATTTGTCAAAATATTTTACAGACTGAATAAGGGACATTTTCTTTAATTTAACCAACTTAGTGGGTTTTTTTCCCTTGATAAAATTTAGATTGTACAATTCTTGCCCCTCACTCACCGTAACCTTAGATAAGTCACTTTGCTGGTCAGAGCCTTAGTTTTCTGAAATCATACTGTTGGCCTGAAAAATTTCTTAGATTCTGTTAGGTTCTAACCCTCTAAGTTGTGTCTAAATTTTGTGCGATAAAGGACTGAATGTGATGCACTTTGACCACCAGAGGGCACTTTGTAACCTGCCTTCTACTGCAGTGACATCAACAAGTAATGGGTTACACTGTGTCTCCTCTTTAGTATTTATACTGTACTTCATCGTTTCACTTTGTTTCCTCATTTTTATGTATTTTCCATTTTTATTCTGCCATGGAATGTTTATATAAACTCAGCATATGGCTTATCATGAAAATCATAATCTATTTTCAATTAATTAAACTTAAATTAACTTCAGTAGTTGTTTTTTTAAAAATAATAGCATTAAATCAGATGGTTACTGTCTTGGTTACCTAGTACTGCCATAGCAGAAATACCACAGCAGGTGACATTAAGGAACTCACCATTCCGGAGGCTAGCCTACTGAACTCAGGGTGTGGTTCTAGGAGGACATCCTTCTTTGTCTGTTTCAGCTTCTAGTGGCCAGCAGCCCTGAGAGTTCCTGGGCTTGTAGAAGTATCTCCCGTGGATGTCTGTCTTCATAGGGCCTCTTCACCTGTTGGGTCTGTGTCTATGCTGCTGTGTTTTTTTTTTTTTATAACCCACAAGTGATTACATATAACACTCACTCTAGTGTGACTTCCATAACATAAGAAAAGAAAACTCTGTTTATATCCACAGGTACAGGATGGGAAATTCAGCACATGTTTGGGAGGCAGGGGAGACATGATCCAATCCATTATTTTTTATGATATATGATAATCCTGTCCAGTAGTTAATTATTTTAACATTATTAATATTTATTTCAGGATAGCTATTTATTTTGTTGCTGATAGTAAATAAGCAAATCATTGAAGCAAATGACGGATACAATATGAGTTCATCACATAAAAATAACAGGCCCTTTTCTATCAATGAAAACTTTCTGTAGTTTATTCATCAGAAGCCTGTTATCTTTATGGCTGCTGTACCCCCTCCCTGTGCCACACTGCAGGCTTTTAAATCTCATAGTGGCAGATGCACATCGGAGTCTCTGAGGTAGAAGACAAACCACCATCCTTTCAACTATTAGTATGTCATCTCTTCAGCCCTTTAGGTCATTGTGTTCTAGAATAGCCATATGACTAGGCTCCTGAGGATTAAAAGGTACTGAACAGCAGGGAGATACCATCAGAAAGAGAACACTGAAACCTACCTTCTGTTGTTAGTGAGGGGACCAGGGTGGTTTGGTGTTCAGAAGTTGTAAAGATAGGATAATAAAGGAACTGTAACATCTCTTTGTTTGTTTGTTTTTCTTTTGAGTCATTATGCAATGAACAAAGCCACTATGTTTTACTTCATGTTTTACTAATAGGAACAACATGCCAGAATTCCACAAATTAAAAACAAAGTTGGTGAAGAAGATAGGAGCACGGGCATATGCTTGCCAGTGTAGCTGGAAAACTGCTGAAGAACTGACTGACCTTCAGACCGACCATCAGCTTCGTTGGGTTTGTGGTAAACATTAAGGATGCAGATTTCTCACATTCAGACACATGTATTCATGAGAGCAATTTCCAGTAATCATGGTACTGTTTAGGTCAAGGTCCATAGGAATAGCATGCCCTTTGGGAAGAGGCAGTGGATTTCATTTAATAACTCCACAGAGTTTTGAAGGCCAAATGAACTGAAGGAAATAATTCTTTGAATCTTTGTAGTTACTCCTTTTTGCAAAAGCACGTTTCACTTACTAAGGTAACACGTTATCCACGTTCTTCTATGCTAGCCTATGTGCTATCAAATGGCAATTTAATTACGAAGTTTCATAGAAATATATGAACTTGTGTTAGCAACTACAGTATTTTTGACTGCTGATACACTTAACATAAACATTCCTCATTTATAGCCATGAAAGAGGATAAATCCAGCCATCACAGAGAGGTCATTGTCACCTCCCACGGTCACATCTATTGTTCACAAAAGTCCTAGTTAGACATGGCAGAAACCAAGTGCTCAGTGGCTAACCGAACGTTTTCAGTGCTACAGGTATATTGTAAAAACACTGCCTCTGTCTGATCTTACCGACTCAAAAGTGACGTTACGCACAATAATGGTAAATACATGAGACCACTTTTAACTTTTCTTCCTTTTCTTCATTTAGATATGAAAAGTTAAGTATTTAGTTTATTTTAGCAAATATTCACATATATTTTTAAAAATTTTGTTTGATAACTTAAAACCACAAAGAAATCCTAATACAGAAAACAAGTCATTGTTGGATTTTCCACCTACTTCCCCTTTCATGCCTAAAACCTTATGAAGTGAAGTGAGCAGCAAATAAATTTTCTCTAGCAGCCTATTGACTTTTCTGGTAGGATCAGGTAGACAGATTGTTTATTAGATCAGACAATACGTGAAAAGAGAAAGAAAGCATGGATGAGCCAACACATAACCTGCCAGGCTCCTTGCCATCAGCGAGACTGGAGATGCCTGCAGCAGTAGGATTTTCAGGAAATCAGTTACCTCCGGTACCACCTCCCAGCCCCATGGAGATTCTAGGGGCTTTCCAAGCTGCCAAAAGCTCTTTGCCAAGTGGGTCTACCATATAGCTCAAATGTGTAACACAGGACCCACTGAGAGAGAGTCATCGCAGAGATCTGATCGTTCAAACCTCTTCCTAGCCATGACTCATCTACATACTTAGAAAGCTTCCTCTGGTAGGGCTAGCATTGCAACAGAACAATCTCATAGTGGCACATGTTCATATTTTTGTATTAAATGTATATCTATAGATTTTACCTTTCAATAGCAATTTTTTACTCCCTAAAATTTATCCCATTGTAATTATATCCAAAACATAGTAAGCAGTACAACAAGAGCTACACATTCAGAGCCCAACAAAATTTGGGACATTAATAATACTAGTACTGCTTTGTGTTTATTCAAATGAATAAATTTACTAAATGGGTCATTTGAAAATGTTTCTTATAACCTACTTTGCCTCTACTTTGAAGGGGCAAAAATTGCCCTTTTTTTATTATTATTTTTATATTATTTTATTCTTACATATGGGAGCTCTGGTAGCATAGTGGCTAAGACACTTTGCCTGCTAACCAGACGGCTGGCGGTTCAAACCCACCAGCCACTCCTCGGAAGGAAG